TTTTTTCTTTCTTTCTTTCTTTCTTTCTTCCTTTTTTGGCAGCAGTGGGGACTGAACACAGGGCCTTGAGCATGCTAGGCAAGTGCTCCACCAAGACCTATGCCTCCTGCCCCTTCACCATTTTTACTGCTCTGCCTTTTTCACTCTTTCCCCAGGGGATTAATTCAAATTACAATACCTGGCTAGCTTATCTAAAATTGCATTCCTCATGTAGTTGCTGCAGCAAGTATTCTGATCAATAACATCAACAGTCAGAGGGGGCCATTTGTTCTGCTGCAGAGACACGTAATTCCTCTGGGTCTGAAATTCTTCAATCCACGAGGTAATGTTTAACCAGTCATGGTGAGCTGTTAGGTATCTCCAGAGGGTTTCAGAGGAATATGATTTATATTCTATACAAAGAACAAAATACATTTTAAAATTGCAATGAATTATGACTACTGGCATGTAACTCAACACCGATTAATATAAATGTAACTGAGTAATATATAAACAATCTGGACAAAAATATACACGAATTATTCAAGTTCTTCTATGATTTTCCTCTTTTGCATTGTTCACTTTCTAATCAATACTATTGTCAGAGGAAAAACTAAATAGTGTGTCTTATTACTAGTAATTAAAATGAAATAAATGTTATTAGCTGCACATTTCACTTGTCTGTTCAACCTTCTTTTCTTCTCCTTCCTTTAATATAAAAAACTGGCTATGATAGCAAACACGAATTTGATGCTCTGAATTACAACTGTTCATCACTGCTATTCTCCAGAGTTCTAATATGATATAGAACCTCAATTTACACAAGAAGAAAACTCAAAAACTATTTGGAAAAACAAAGAATGTGATTTGAAATTTAGGATAAAACACTTAGCCTTGAAATCTCAATTCAATGAACCATATAACTTTTTTTTTCACTATCACATTGCAAAGCCATCACAGAAACCTTGAGATAAGCAAGAAGTCTTAATGCAATGACTTGCATTTTAAAAAAAATCAATATTTTTCCATCAAAAGGAATTCAAGGGCTGGGCATGGTGGCATAATTCAAATTACAATAGCACTCAGGAGGCAGAGGCAGGAGGACTACTTTAAATTCTAGGCCAGCCTGGGCTACACGGCAAGACACTATCCCAAGAAAAAAAGAAAAAGGGAATCCTACAATAGAAATGCAAAAATATTCATATTCAAATATCAATACCTATTTTAATCCTGCTCTGCCTTACCTTCTGGACTTATCCTGGGGAGAAGGATACATTCTTGTGTTGGCTGATCCCACCACTGAGCCCAGTTTAATGCAATTTTATGATCCAGTTTGTTAAACTCATCTTTATGATCATATTTGAGGAATGAGTCCAAAACAGATTTGTACTTGAAAAAATCTTGTTCCTTTATCCAGTACCTAAAATCCATGACATATGTAAATTTATAATATATACATATATATATATATATATATTTTTTTTTTTCTTTTTTTTAATGTTGAAGGAAAAAGACCACTCCCTTTTATCTGCTGAAAAGGTTCTATTCTTCTGGGGAAAACACAATTCTGATTATACAAATACTGAAGCAATAGGAAATTTCTAAGTCTGTTCTGTATGATACGAGTTTTATTTTCCTAAGAAAAGTAGGCTTAGTTCCACATAAGAAAATCATGCACATAACTGTTACAAACTAAACATTACCTATAATATTCTTCCAATATTATCAAAAGGGGACTAATGAAACTACCTGGGAAAGGACTGGATCTTTGTATTTTCTTGGAAGTCTCCCAAATAAAACTTTTCAACTTGATGCACAAAGTCTATAGTTCTTTTCTCTTTTTCAGAAAGATAATTTTTTTCTTTTAAAATTTCAACCTTGAATAAAAAAAATTAAAGCAATGACTTCACAAAAACTAAGTATATTTGCAAAACAAAAAGTCATGAGATGAAATGCCATTTAAGAATTATATTCTAGAGCTAGAGCTATACTTTCTTTCCAGCATGTGAGGGCTCACGTTTGATTTCCAGGACAGTAAAAGAAAAAGTATTCTGAACTTCTGAGTTAAACAAAGTTCAAATTTTCTTTTGTCATAAATGTTAGTCATTTTAAAAGACAGGATAATCATATATTTACTTATGAGATTATTAGTTGAACATGGTTTATTTTGAATTTTTCCTTCCCAATTTTTAACTACGGCTTTCTAAAAAATGTAAGCTATATAGTCTCAACTGTACCTACCAAAAAGTTCCGAATATTTTTATCAGTTGTATAGAAGCATATCTTGAGCAGCTGGTCTTTTACATCAAAGCCCTATAATAAACAGAGAAAAAAAAATCTTAGATTTTATAACAACTGTTCTGATATAAATGTCAGATACAGATATACTTTATTACAGAAATGTACCCTATTAGAATACAATTTTTTGTTCTTACATTCATTTTTTTACATTTCTTTTATTTTCTTACATTCCTTCTATATATTTTACTGCCAATACCTAAAAAGTCCTTAAGCATTTTTTGAGAGCAAAGGCAGGTCACAGAATGTAAGGGTAGGCTAGGCTACCATAATGATGAAGACTGCAACAACGTTCTGTAATTCATTTGAACCGTATGGTCAATATAAATAACCCTTTATATGGTTTTGCTTCTCTCCACTTCCACAACGAACATGGACAAGACTCCAACCATGCAGATTAGGGGAAATTTCAGGTTAGTCCAGGAGCCCTACTCCTACGACTTTCATTCTCAAATGAAGTAAAACCATGCAGCATAAAACCCCAGGCAAAGGAATACTCCACCAGAAAGTTCAAATGACATGTATGAGGTCAGTGAACGACAGAGAATATTCTCCAATGAGGCCCTGTGCATGCACTGCCATGTGTAAAGTCAAACGATACTGTCTCCCTCTAACCAAAGTACCAGATCTAACAGCCAAGGGATGATGGAAAGTCCATTTCAAAAATTTCTTTAAGAAATATGAAGATAACCTACATGTTCTCAAAAAAAAAAAAATGAAACCTACATGTTCTCAAGAAATGACTGCATAAAGAAAATGTGGTATATTCAGTGAAATAGTTGCCTTAAAAAGAAGTAAATCCCTCCTAGATACTGAGGAAACTGAGGCAGGGGTACTATAAGTTTGCACCCAACCTGAGTAACTTAAGTGAGACCCAGTCTCAAAAGAAAATTAGGAATGAGCTGGGAGTATTGCTCAGTGGTAGAGCACTTGCTTAGCATGCATGAGGTTCTGGGTTCAATCTCAATACAAAAATAAAAAAAGCCTACTATCAAAAAGGTGGGGCTGGAGATACAGTGCAGTGGAAAAGGAAATCCTGCCATTTACCACAAGGGAGATAAAGCTGGGAGGACATTATGTTAACTGAAATAAAACAAACATAGACAAATACTGCATGATCACACCTACATATGGAATCTTAAAAAAAAAAATTAACGAATAAAAACAGATAACAGAATAGTAGAACGAGGGGCTTAAGGTCAGACAAATGGATTACACTACTCACCATATTCTTCAGAAGCTCAAAGGCTTCCTTTATATTATTTTTTTTTAAATTGACAAAGACCAAATCTAGGCCTATCCTAATCAGTTCCTCAAGTCTTTGAGCAGAATGATTATTCATCCTGAAGAAGGTCTGTGCCTCTGGTATTTTGTTGTTTAGAATGGCACTAGCAATAACTTCCTAGGAAAAAAAGAAAAAGATTAACCTTTTAAATTCCTTTTTATTTTGTTACTATGATTATCAACATAGGACTTTACTGAGCACCTACTAAAATCTACTACTAGAGTTAGGATAGGTGCAGGAGACATGAAGCTGACTCAAACATTGCTTGCCATCTAGGGGAGGATATACAACTAAAGTACTAATTACAGTGCTGACAGATAAGGGCTGTGATATGAGAACCCCAAGATGCTAAAGGAAGGTCCAAAAGAGGTTCACCTACATAAGAAGGGTTACAACAACAACAACAAATCAGTAAGAGTTCTACATATACATAGAAAAAAGGAGGTATGTGTTCCAGAAAGAAGGAATATCATGTGTAGAGCTTTCAAGGAGCTCTATTCAATATAATTGAAAGAAAAGCTGAAGAGAATAGCAAATGAAACTTAAGTCCTTAAAAAGCAGGAAATCATATTTTGCGTTTTAAGACACCTTTTTTTAGGAGAAATATTTGGAAAGCAATGCAAAAGATAAACTGAAAGCAATTCAAGGTCAAGGTATTGAAGTACTAGGTTACTGCAGTAGTCCAAGTGAGAAGAAACAAAGATCTAAATGAAAATCTTTTTTTTTTTTTTTTTTTTTTTTGGTTTTTCTCCGGTACCTGGAACCGAACTCACGACCTTGCGCTTGCGAGGCAGGTGCTTTTGCCGCTGAGCTAAATCCCCAGCCCCTGAAAATCTAACTCCAGAGACAAGAGAAAGGGACATTCCACCTGGGCCTTAAAGGGATTTATAAACTCTAATAAGCCACACACAGAACTCTGTGTACGTGTTACATACACACATTCACACACATGCTTTTAGGGATAGGATCCACAGCTTTCATCAAAGTGAACTGTAAATCTCCCACCAAAAAAAGTTAAAAATCAGGAGCTTTGAATAAAGAGAGTGGTGCACCATGGACAATGGACAACATGAAAAGGGTGAAAACAGTAAGAGAAGCCCTTGAAGGAGACAGAATAAGCAGTCAAAAAAAAAAGAGCATGATAGCCGGGCATGGTGGTACATGCCTAAATCCCAGCACTCAGGAGGCTGAGGCAGAAGGATTGTATTGATTTTGAGGCCAACCTGGACCACACAGTGAGTTCAAATCCAGCCTAAACTACATAGCGAAACCCTGTCTCAAACAAACAATAGAAGAAAAAATAGGTTATTTCTGATGACAGAATAAGAGATACAGAAAAAATGGTCATCCCAGGTACTTCCCTATCTATTCCTCCACCCCACAGCAACAGTCCTGAGGATGTGGCAGCAGTCAACCTTCTCTCCTTCACTCCCTATTGATTCTTCTCATCTATGTTAAGCCATTTTGGCTTTGTCTTTCCAATACTCCTATACTCCACGTGGATGAAGGGATTCTTCAGTCCCTAAGTCTTAGGGCAGCATGTTTAGGTGGTACTAACTTTTATTGTGAAATGAAAAGCAAACAAATAGACATAGAAAGCTTAACCACAAAATGGGTTAGAATTTTAGATAGGAATCAAGTCAAGCCCACTTCCAAGCAATGAAGTTGTAAAAGAGAAATTCACTAAGATCTAATCACAGGAGCAACTCAGTTGATTCAGTGGCCAGGCAGAATGCATGGGTCCTGGGTCCCAGGTCCCAGGCCCAAGCCACTGAGGGAGCATGTCAGGAGAAGCCCCCTTAACGGGTGGGGATGTGCTTTTGGATCGAGGTGTGCATTCCTGTCTGGCATTGAGAGGAAGCCTGTCTTCATTCTGAATTAAACCAACAGTTTGCAGATAAAAATCTGTCCAGAGATGTCAAAACCTGTAAAATCTAAAATCCTTGCTAAAGATTCTGAATCACAAGAATATAGACTCTGAATTCTATTTCTTTCATTGTTTCTCAGCTCTCGCAAATAAAAGTAGTATAATTGCTTATATTTACCTCAAAGCTGAGCTTCTCCCAAATAGCAGCCTCCTTTACTGTGCAGATATTTTCAGTTACATCATATTCATCTGTAGCATCTGTTAGCTTCCAAGGAAACTTTATCATGAAAGTGCGAAGCTCGTTAATGTATCTGGTCAAAATGTTCACTCCTTTCTGCAGATGTTCATCTAGCTCTATGGGAGATTGGAAAACGCCAATGTGCCAGTTTGCGTGTATGGGTACACAAAGAGAAGGGAAGAACAGACAGAAGGTGTGGTGACTGGTTATTATGAAGAATTCTTTTTTTTTTTTTTTGGTGTTTTTTTGTTTTTTGTTTTTTTCCGGTACCGGGAATCGAACTCACGACATCGCGCTTGCCAGGCAGGCGCTGTGCCGCTGAGCTAAACCCCAGTCTCTAATTATGAAGAATTCTAAAGAATGCCAAAATTCAAAGTGGCTATTTCTAAATTTCAAACAATGTGTTTTAAGCTGTTTCTATTTATATAGGTAGTGGTGTTTTCACGTAGTCCTTTTCACATACTTCACAATTATTCGCAGGTCTTTCTGCCAAGTTTCCCAGCATCAAAACCCATTTCAATTCAATTACACATTTACTGTAGTCAACATTAGTAAATGGTACTCCACTGGCTTAAGCTCTTTCACGCAAAATCAACTTTTATATCTCTGTCCAGACACAGGAATGTACAACTGCTCCCTTCCTTGCTGCTGTTCTTACCTTCAGTGTAAATAAAAAGCTCCTTTATTTGTTTGTTAAGGAAAGACAGAGTAAGAGTAAGCAACTGTTCTGAGAAGTGTTTGCTTTGGGTTTCAGAATAGTTTTCTTTAATTGCTGAGCAAAGTAAATCCAATGCTGGTGTCAGCTCTTCCACATCTGAGAAAGAACCAAAGAAAGCAACATGAACACTAGATGACTCCCAATAAAATTAACATATCCAAAAATACCACCTTGCATTATGTATAAACAAGGACCGATGTCTTATTTTCACAAAGCTCACAAAACCTTTAGGAAGGCTTATTACCTACAAACTTTAATGATTCCAGTTACTAATAGTTATTATTTACTGGTTTTATTGACTGATTGTGACAGGGTTTTGCAGTACAGCCCAGGCTAGTCTTGAATGTGTGCGCCTCTTGCCTCAGCCTCCTGAACAGCTGAGATTACATGCATGTACCACCATGTTTAGTTACTGATGTTGACTATGATTCTCCTGCCACCTATGTCTGAAGTATTATACATGGTGTTTTACAAGTGCTATTTCATGTAATCCTTTCAACAAAGAGATGTTATTTTTCAATTCCATAGTGAGGAAACTAAGGGTCAAGAGGGTAAGCAACTTGCCCAAGCTAATTTGCAAAGTAGGTGGCAAATGTGAAATTTGAACTTGAACCTATGAGTGCAAAGACACTTCTTCAATATTCAGGTGACCAGAGTGTGAGGTTCCCCCTACCCTATCCTCTGTCTGCAGCTGAAGGCTCTAATGAAGTGATTTCTGTATTTCCGCACTGGGTCTACGCATAAACAGTATCTGTGTGAGCAAGAATTATGGGAAAAGGGGCTTTCCCCGGGAGAGTTAGTAAAGCTTATTTCCACACTTCGTATTCCAGACCTGTTCCCACCTTTTACAGCAGAGCAGTGCAACTACGAGTCAAGTGAAGAGGGATCATGGACCATCAAACAGCAGAAGTGAATAATGACCACACAACTGCAGACAGAGCACCCTCGGCCTTTCCTATACATTCAAGATTAAAAAGCTTGGGGAACACTATAAATAAACAGAGGAGAAGGCCGGACATGGCGGCACACACCTGTAATCCCAGCACTTGGAAGGCTGGGACAGGAGGATCACAGCAAGTTTGAGGCCAGCCTGGGATACACAGTAAGTTCAAGGACAGCCTGAACTATACAGCAAGATCCTGTCTTGAAAGAAAGAAAAAAAAGAAAGAAAAAGGAAGTGTTATGGTTTGTGTCTGAATGTCCCCCTAAGGCCCCATGCAGTGATGGGGTGGGCTTCTAGAGTTTATGACTGACTCATGGTCCAATGTTGGGATTGTGGGTGTGCGTGCTACACCCTCCCTGGGGGGGGGGCAGTTTGCATACAATGAAAGGGAAGAAAAGAGGTTGTTTGTGCACTCCTCCCTTTTGCTCTTGCTGCTTTTGCTGTTTTCTGCCATGAACTGTTGCCCTCTGCTCTGTGCCACTCTGCCTTGGAGCCAATGTGTATGGACTGAAACCTCCAAACTGTGAGCTAAATAAATCTTTCCTTCCTTAATTTTGGACAACAGGTACTTTGTCTCAGCAATGAGAGAAAAGTAACCAATACAGACAGACAGACAGAAAACAAAACAAAACTGCAGTCAAAACAAAGAGGGTGAAGAAGAATTAGGGATATCAAGTCAGTACAGGGTACTTGCCTAGCAGGCACAAGGGCATAGGTTTGACCCCCAACATGAGAGGAGAGAGAGAGAAGAAGAGGAGGAAGAGGAAGAAGGGAAGAGAAGAATGGGTCTCACTATGCACCCCAGACTTGCCTTAAACCCATGGTGATCTTCCTGAGATCTCATGTCTCATGCCTGCAGAGTGCTGGGATTACAGGTGTGTGTCACCATGCCCAGAAGAGCATTTAAAAGAAAATTTCTTTTTTTGTTTTTTGGGACAGGGTCTTGGTATATAGTTCAGCCTGGGCTTGAACTCATGGCAATCCTCCTGCCTCTGCCTCCCAAGTGCTGGGATTATAGGCAGGTACCACCATGCCCAGTTTAAAAAGAAAATTTCTGATTCATACTCTTAGTGAGAACTGACACTAACATTGTCTTTTTCCTCCATGTAACTAGAAATACAAATTGATAAAGCTTTTTTGGGGGGGTAATATTTTATCAAGGCTACAAGAATGTGCATTGTGAGTACTCTTAGACCTGAAAATTCCACATTTAGAATTTATCCCAAGTAAACACACACACACAACTTATGACACACTGCCAATTAAAAACTGAAATCCATCTGTCCAAAGGGGTTTGGCTTGGTAAATTATGGGATTGCCCATACAATGAATTTCCATGCCACCATAATTAGTAAGTACATATATTAAAGAAAGATGTCTATGATATATTTTCAAGTAGGAAAAAATAGATTATAATGCTAAATATATAGAGGGAAACACAGCCTATTACTCTATCCTTCTAAGGAGAGAATTTACATCGTTACCTGGGCTAAGAAGAAAAGCTAGGCTTCTAATTTGTTAAAAAGGAAAGATAACATCTTCAAAAGAAGTATTGGTAAAGTAATAATTAAAGATGTCACCAGAAAATGCAATAATAATTTGAAAGCAATTAAAAAGATATGCACAAGTGTGGAAGTCTTTGTTTTACTTACTTCTTAAATATAACTGGGCTGGAAAGTGATCCAACTGATCAGGTACAGAAGATTTTGAGGACGCAGTAAAAAGATTTCCCTTGCTCTTCAAGAAGAAATCTACAGTGTCAAGCTGACGGTTTTCTATCCCAGCCTAAGGTGTGTGTGTTGGGGAGGAAATCAGAGAAAAATTACAATAGGAAAAAAAAATCACTTGGTGGTGGGGCTGAGGCAGAAAGCTTATAACTTCAAGGCCAGCCTGGGCCACACAGTGAAGTCCTTTAAAAAAAATAAAATCAGGATACAGTTTCTTTTAAGCTTTAGGACTTAATGTCCAAGGCTAAGGAGACACATGGCTATCTTCATTTTGTATCAGAACCTGGATTCTAGTGAGAATTAGAAAAATGACTAACTATGTAACCCAAGGCAAACATCTGAGATTTTTTTCAAGACAAGGTCTTGCAATGTTGCTCAGTCTGGCCTTAAACTCATGATCCTCCTGCCTCAGCCTCCCAAGTAGCTGGCATTACAGGACTACAATAAACTTCTAGCTACAACACATTATAATTCTAAAACCATTGAAAGCTAAATACTTGGGAATCATGCTTACAGTTAAGTTACAATCTGAATTTTAAAAAAAAAAATTTTTGTTTGTTTTTTTGAGACAGGGTCTAAGTATGTAGTTTATGTAGTCCATGTAGTTCATGCTGTCCTTGAACTCACTACCTAGCCCAGGCTGACCTCAAATTAACAGCGATCCTCCTGCCTCAGCCTTCCAAGTGCTGGGATTACAGGCATGTGCCACCATGCCTGGCATGTCTGAATTAAAATTTTATGTCAGGTTAATAAGAGATTAACTGATTCCTGGGTCAGTCCCCACCACACACATTAAAAATAAATGAACAATAAGAACAATAAAAAAGTAGGCTAAAAGCAGACTATTTCTAATCAGGCATCTTGAGGAATCTTCTTATAGAAAACACATAAAAGCCACAGCCTAGAGTTGACAGTGTAGCTCAGTGGTAAAACATTTAACTAATATGCACAAAATCTTGGACTCAATATCCAGCATCACAAAACAACAAGAACAACAAAATAAACCCACATGGAAAACTTGGGAAAATGTGGTCTGCTGAGCCCTGCCTCCAGACTTTTGATTCAAGTAGGTATGGAGGTACCTGAGAATTTGTACTGCTAAAAGTCCCCAGGTAATGATGCCGCTGGTTTGGGGGCCATATTTTGAGAAACAACGGGCCTAAAATTTTGGATGTGAACATATGAGGGAAGTTGGAGTGAGAAATACTGATGAAATATGGAAGGAGGAAAAACAAGGGTTTGTGCAAGGTAACATACCCCCAAAAGGAATAAACTAGAAAGTAACTGGCCCCAGAAGGAGATCATAAATTAACTATGCTTTTGCCTTGGGTAGTGGGAGGAAAAAGTGAATTCTAAGTGATTAAATAAGAGGATATCTTTGTTCTTAAGAGATGTATATTAAAGAATTCACAGTGAAGAGTTACAAAGTTTGCAGCCTTCAAATAGTTTAGGCAAACAAATAAAAAAGTCAAATTTCCTTGTTTGCAGTTTGATCTTGGCCAGGCATGGTAGCACATGCCTATAATCCCAGCACTTGAGAGGCTGAGGCAAGAGAAGGTGTAAGTTTGAGGCCAGTTTGGACTACATAGTAAGACCCATTCTCAAAAAAAAAAAAACAGAAACAAGTAAAACCCAAACAAACAAAATAAAAGGTGCTATACTTAGGAGACCCTAAAGACTCTACCAAAAGACATTTAGAGCTGATAAACAAATTCAGCAAAGAACATAAAATCAACAGCTTTTCTATATACCAATAAACCAGCTGAAAAAGAAAACCAGGCAAAAAATTTTCATTTACAATAGCTAATAAATACATACATACATACATAAAAAATATGATACCTAGGGACCAATCTAACCAAGGAGATGAAAGACTTTTAGTCTTTTTTTTCCAGAGACAGGGTCTCACCATGTAGTTCAGGCTGGCCTTGAACTCACTATATAGCTCTGGTTGGCCTTGAATTTGCACCAGTCCTAGAGTACTGGAATTGCTACATGTGCTACCACACCTGGTTGTAATTGCATATCATCTCATATCTTTTAAAGTCAAAAAGGTTAAACTGCTAAGAAGAGTTAGGGAAATGAAAAACACCTGAGCAAATGAAGGGGTAAAGGTTAGTTCTTTTTGGTGCTAGGCTAAATGAGTTTTCTCAGATCCTTTTCTCAGATCCTCAAAAAAAGAATATGTGACAGCAAGTAAACTTCTACAGACATTTAATTCTCTTACCTTTAGTGCATGTATGGGAATGGAGCATCTCCCCCAACCATTCAGATGACAAAGACAGTCCACAACGCTTGCGCTTCCGTGGATCATTAGTCTGTTTAAAAATTCCTCTTGAGTCAAACCAAACAAAATCAAGGAGAGTCCATTTTCTAGAGGAAAAATAAAAATTAGATTTCATAAATTACTAGGATATAGGTTCTAGAATTAGAAATTAATTTCTAGTTAATACTTTAGTACTGTAGTTACATTTATTGGATATCATGCATTATGACTTTAACTCTTGGTTTTCCAATGTTCTCAACATTTTTACTTTTAAAATACTAATCACAAGGCAAATTCTCATATGAAGTGAGGTTGAAGATGTAGTTCAGGGGCAGATTGCTTACATAGCATGAGTGAGGCCTTAGATTCAAACCCTAGTACCACAAAAAGGAAAAATAAAAGCAATACATCCTATGAAACAGCATTGAACTTCACATTTCTATCTTATGTTATCTTGTACAATCGATAATAAAACAGCACACTCCTGATACACAAACACATGACTACCAAAATTTGAGTACTAAAGAAGAAACACAGTTCAATCACAACCCTTGTAAGGTACAGGATAAGTGCTCAATGAAGCACACATGACAAATCAAAATGCCCCATGCCTATAAGCGTGAGGTAGTAAGTGGAGTGCAAGATAAAATAAAATGGCCCATCTAAGACAACTGAAATTTAGGTTCAACTTCTAAATTCCTATGCAGTGTTGTTAGATTAGCAATACCTGGAAATCTAGATTTTTGTGTAAAATCTTCTAATTCTGCCTATTTATAATGGTCTTTTAAAAAAAATCTAGATAGTGCCAAGTAAACAAAATAAATCTGTAGTTCATACATGACCCATGAGCAGCCAGCTTGCAACCTCTGCTTGTACCAAATGAAGAACAATTAAGATTCTCTGCGTTAAAATTTTAACCTTCATTATCTTACACTTGGCCTTTAACTGGAGAGGAATGATCTTAACTAAAAATCAGAATGTGAGACAATGTTAGCAAGACTAACACCAAATTTCATCCATAGGTGATTCCCGCCTCAAGGTAAGAATAGGCATGTGTAGGGACCAGGGCAGAAGTAAAATACATTAAGAAACCACACCCCTCAGTAATGTGTTTCAATATGATGTAAGACAGTCTCACCTGTCAAAACAAAGCACAGCTGCTGGTCTCCACTACTGTCTACAGGAATACACTTCTGGCCAAAGGAGAAACACTGCAAACCTTGGGTCTCCAAATCCCAGAGGAAAATGGTAGAGTCACTTGTTTCCACTGCACAAGTAAACAGTGCAGTGAATCCTGTCACAGACACACATTTAAGCTCTGTGGGTTCCTCTCGTTCACTGAGGCGCATCATCTTCCAGGATCTTCCAGGATCACTGATCTTGGCATGATCTGTCTGTGGAAGATTATACTGGTCCCGCATCATGTCCTGTGAAATAAAAAGCCAGCTCGGCACACCGGTACCATGCTGACCAAATTCAGGGGACTCTAAATGCAAAATATCTTGGAACCATGGAGCACAAGAAACCTCTAGTTTGGAGCTCTTTATTGTTTCATTCAGTGATAACAGCTGGGCATTCCAAGATCTGGAAGACAGAGTAATGCACTGGTTACAGTGAAAGGCCTTAAGTAAAAACACTAAACCAGGCCAAATATGCATTTAAAAGGCATCAACCTAGTAAAGACCTTTAGTGAAAAGGTACAGTGTCAGCACAGAAAAAAAAAAAAAAAATGGAAAAAAAAACAAATAATAAAAGGAAATTTCTGTACCTATCGACCTGGAAAGAAAGCTTGGTCAGTTTCATGCTGTGGACAGAGTTAACAGGATCATCCTCATCTATTCCCTTAGGTCCTTGGATAGGAAGGTCTTCGAGTGTTCTTTCACATAGTAAGTATCCTGGGTGTTGCCTACATTTAAAAATGAGAGCCACAGTAAAAATGACGATCAAACACAAATTTGTGTTAAAAATGGGGAGGGGCTGTCACAGAGAAGAGACAGTATAGACAAATATTCAATAGAATTCATCTCCCTTTGCTTGCAGTAAAGTTATAAAGTCAAACTCAAGAATTTGACTCTATTAAGGGCAGTCAGCTTTATAAAGTAGTAAAAATATTTATTGTCCACTATATTACAGATGTTATACTGAACACTTAAACTTTTTTTTCTTCTTCTTTGTGGTACTGGGGATTAAACCCAGGGCATTCACACTGAGCTACATGCCCAATCCTTTTTTTCAGACAAAGTCTCCCTAAATTGCTAAGTTGCCCAGGCTGGGCTTGAACTTGTGATCCTCCTGCCCCACCCTTCCAGAATACTGTGATTAGAGATGTGAGCCACATGCCTGACTAAACTTTGTCATTTGAGCTATTTAACAACCCTATTGAAGTAAGCATAGCCCCACTTTATAGATATGGAAACTAAGGCTCAGAGAAACCTTGAACTGGATTAATTTAACCAGAAAGTCTAGATTTTTAATCACTATACTGCCAGTACAATGTAAGACTTAGGCTGAGACTGTGAAGGCAAATAATGTGTGGGGATAGGATGAGTGCAAAGAGAGCTGTCACGTCTGAGAAACTAAAGAAGCTGGAGCATAGTAAATGAGAAGCAAGACAGAGTGAGATGAGGCTGCAAAGGTTGGCAAAGGTTGGCAAAGGTCGGTTCAAGGCTTTTTGGGCTATTAAGGATTTTTAACTTCTATCTTAAAGGGGAAAAGAAACCTAAAGGAGGGTTTAGGCAAAAAATACAACATGATCAGATACAGAAAACAGCTAGGAAGAGAAGGGAAAACATTCCCACTGAGCACTTGGTTCAGTATCAGCCCTTTTAATAATTTGAAGGTAACAGGTTGACACATTTGTCAAGGTGATAAAGTTAGAGAGGGCAGGATTTAACTTTATACAGTAGGAGGCAAGATTATTCAAAAAAAACTTAGAAGTAAATAGATGAGTGGGTTTGAAAACAGGTTTAAAAATGTTGTAAGGAATGGACTTGAGAAAAATCACAGAAAAACTTTCAAGAAATATTGTGAAACCAACTGAAGACTGAGTGTCAACTTAAGAGTAGTATCGATTTTCTTTTGTAATTTTCTCACAAGTGCTCAATTGCTTGGGTACAGGCACTTAAGAAGGCAGAATAAAGGTTTCACTCAAGGTTAACACTTTAGCAGAGAGAGTACTATCACAGGGTAGGAACAAGAGTTTATAGTGCCTGCAAGAAACCAACTAGAATGACAAGTCATAAAATCTATGCTGGAACAGGAGAGAAGTGAAAACAGGAAGAGGGGGTGAAGAGTAGAAGGTCAAAAAACTGGAAATTCCAAAGAAGTCAGATGATCAGAGCCAGGCGGGTACTTGAGTAAGTAAGCTAGAAAGTGTGGGAAGTTGTGGTCAGAGTGAAATGTGCAGTGATCTGGGGGAACAACAACTTCAAACACTGACAAAGCTCAGGGTATGATGATGAGGATGGAGAGCTAAGGTAAAGAAAAAAAGTCACTGACAATGAACTGAAAAAATAAACCCCACCTTCTAGGGAGGCTGAGGTGGGACAGTCATTTCAGCCTATGAGTCTGAGACCAATCTGGGCCACACAGTAAGAACTATGCTCCCCTACAAAAAAGTGAAAGAATAAGTCGTGAGTTTGAAGTTCTCAAGCAGCTTATACAAACGCTATATGGGAAATGAAACAAGAACAGAACATTATATAATTAAATACAACACTGGTTCAAAGCAGAAGTACTAGCCAGGCCTGATGGTACAGGCCTGTAATCCCAGTACTCAGGGAGGCTAAGGCAGGAATACAGCAAGTTCTAGTCCATCCTGGGCAACTTAGTGTGACCCTGTCTCAAAATTAAAAAAAAAAAAAAAAAAGTAGTAATTAACTCCGTGCGAAGGCCCTGGGCCTAATCCTCCTTATTGGCAGGGTGGTGAAACAGAAGCATCACCAAAGTTCAACTAAGAGAAAAATTATGAAATGAGTGTAAGATTGTGGGTGAAAAGAGTTTAGTAAATAAAAGATATCAAGAAAGAGATGGATTCAGTTGGGTCTCAAAAGATTAACAGAACCTGATAAAACAAAGAGAAAGGCTGATGTTCTGTGTACTGGGGGAAAATTGAGCTAGACCAGGTGGCCAAAATGATAAACACAACACTTTATTATTAGTATTCAGAGCAGAAGATAAAATATTCAGTCAACTACAGAGAAATTAATACTATTTAAAGAGCATTCATGCAAGAAATAAACATGGATTATTCATTTAGTTGTTCAGTTGCATTCACTTGGAACAGATGCCTAAATTTGGTGAAGCAAACAGGCTAGCAGTTCTGGAGAGTTGCCAAACACACAGAGTAGTATCAGGGAAGGTGAGTACGCTTTCTCCCTTCCTTAGAACTCAAAGTAGTTTCCAAAAGCATTAGGAAATGATTCTACATATGCAGGGTGTGGTCAGTCAGTAAAATATGGACTACTGATAAGAAAACAATCTGAGGATGTACTGCTCATCCCTCCTCAAACACTGACTGAATGACAGAATAAATAGTCCTTTAAAAAAAATAGGAGGCAGCGGACACGGTACAAGGAAGATGACCCTGCCTGCTGGTGGTATCAAACCACAAACTCCTAGCTGTCTTTGCACCTTGGTTCCCCTCAGCAGAGGGCTACAGAGGTGTCTACCAAACAACTGACCTGATCAAGGACAACCTGAAGAAGCAGTAAGCCCTGAAGAGTCAGCCACTTAGAGAGACACAATGGATAGGTCTGCAGCACTGGCCCCAAGAAAAGCCTAGAGGCAGTATAAACTAAAAATCTTGGGTGGAGTTTTATCCCAAAAGTGACTTCATGAGGGGAGAGAGTTTGAGAAGAAATCCAGTGCAGTGTCTGCCATATCAACAGAGAGTTTAATCAAGCACCTTTATGGGAAGGGGTTGATTGAGACTGAACCACAGAAAAACTAAATTACAGCTTCACTCCAGGACTGAAATGTTATTCTACCACAGTGACTGGGTGAGGGACAGCCACAGGAAACAGACAGGGTGAGGACTAGACAAGTTTAAGGGGAAGGAAGGACATGGGGCCTGCAGTCCACAGTGGGCGGCCAGGTTTGGCAGGTGAGATTTTCAGAGGTGGGTGGATGGGAAGGTGATGGCATTTAGTCCAGTGGTGTGCCTGAGCCCCGATCCCTTTGCCTACATCCAGGGAAGACCAGTGGTCTTACTGCTTCCCTGCGTACCAACATGAGCACATTGTGTCTTGCCTTGGACAGCTGCCACAGTGTGGCGCTCACAGACAGAGTGGAAACCTCTTGAGCAAACCCACAGGATATAAAGTGGGGTGGAGAGGACTATGACTTGCTGGACTGTAGAAACTGGGCATGGTGTCACACATCTGTAATACCAACACCTAGCAGGAGGCTGAGGCAGGAGCATTGCTTTGAGTTAAAGGCCAGCCTACGCTACATAGTGAGTTCAAAATCAGCCTAAATCTCAAGCAAGACCTTCTCTCTCTCTTTTATAATTAAATTTATTGGTACAACTTAGATATGTCTAATGATCACATTCATCATAGGGAATTTGTACCTGTACATAAAATAATCTTATTTCCTCTTTTTTTCCCATTACTCTCCTCTCTTCAACTCCTCTTCCCTTTCTTATTTACAAAGC